TTTGTCTCTTGCCCTCCCGTCGTCGGTCGGGGTACATATTCTATCTAAGACGGTGGCAGTGAGCGCGGAGGTGGGCGGTGAGGGTTGTTGGTTGGTTGGCTGGTTGGCGGCACAGAAGTCGTTTTCCGATGTGGAAAAACTGTTTCTTTATGCAAGCATTCATTTGCTATACATTAAAGGAATGTATTGTTTCTCGCGTAGCGCTATTTCTGTCGGGTGGAACGCCGGCCGCTGCGCTGGTTGGGAATCGTGCTCCTCTCTCGCATACATATCGCTTCAAGATGCCTGCAACTTTGGTTCGTTTCCATGAAATTATCTTTCGCGAAGGGACCCCGAACAACTATTTAGAACTGGAACGCGAAACGAAACAGAATTTGTACCTCCACCGATCTGAATTAAACATCAATTTACAGTACGTTATTTCACTTCCGCATTTAAAAGAAGAAGAAAAACCGAAGGTATAAATACGCTATCTGTTTTTTTTTTTGTTAAATATATTCTTAATCAGGAAAAATAAAAGGCGACATCAAAGATAACTAACTATAAGCACACAATGTGGTCTCTTATGGTTTCGAACCGAAAAATATATCAATAAGAATCCTTTTTCCTAGGAGTGGGTCGAGGTCATCATCATCATCATCATCATAAGGTCGTCAGTCCTAGGACTGGTTGGACACGAACCTCCTCTCTTTCCTAGAACATCCCACATCCTTAACTATTTGTAAACAGTAACCTACTCTAGGTCTATATCTACTCCCCCTAACTCCCGTTTCTGCCTCTAATATGTCTGACTAGACCTTCATGCCTGAGAAGATGTCCTATACTTCGTTTAGTTTCTGTAGCGATGTTATCTTTAGTTTGACCGACGCAAAGTAGAAAAGAACAGCACTAAGCCAGAAAAGAAAGGAGACAACTCTCGGTCAAACTCTTAACCGGTGAGGAGCGTATAATTCGTACAGTACTGCACAAAAAATTGACCATTTTATCCACTAAAATTGCATTGCTCAAATGTGCTGTTATTGATACCAATTACTACTGAAAATACCAATGAGATGTTTATCTACATTTGAAGACATACTAAAGGCTTTAATGCTTGTTTTCGACTCGCACTACTATTCATGATTAAGCAAAAGTTTTGGCAGGTACTGTATGAAAAAGTATGTTTAATGAACAAGAGTCGAGAGTATAATAAGCTTTTGTCTCCCTACCTACGATTTTGCCAGTGCGCATCCAAGACATTGGAAGGAGCACATCGCTAGAGAAAGTAAATGAAGTATACCAACTTATCTCGCCTATTTCTTATTGACTTCCATAGAGCCCTATGTTCTCCTAAATTTCCTTCATTCATTCGTCATTTTTAACCCTCTCTATCCACGGTATCCTTATCATTCGCCGTTAACACCCCATTTCGAACACTTCTAACCTTTTCTTTTCCGCCGCGTCCACCGTCCATGTTTTGCACCCATACAGCGCCGTGCTCCAAACATACACCTTTGACAATCTTTTTCAAATTTCTAAATTAACCGTTCGCGAGCCTAGAAGTGACTTCTTTTTATTGAAGACAACTCGACCCTGCGCTATCCTCTGCTTTATATCCCTACTACTCCTTCCGTCCTGACTTATCTGACTTTCTAGATACCTAAAATCAACCACTTCTTCCAGATTATTGTTCATATGGAATTCATACTTTCTTTGACTCCACTTCCTCAATCCCTAACAACAAGTTATTCTTTTAAACAGTGAAAATCCTATCAAAAATTGTGAGGCGTTTCTAAGTTACTGATAAAAGAAATCATATCAAAACCTATCTAGTAGTTTAGGAGTATTAGCAGGTTTTGAGCACTCCTCCCTATTCTCAATCTTCACATTTCTCAAAAACTGGAAGATCCCACATCCGTTATAGGTATTACCTATTTGCAAAAGGTAATCTAATAATCTAGGTCTTCTTAAACCCCTTTTTGCTTTAATTATATCACTAACTATCTCTTTATGTTCCGGTAGGTGACCTAATATTCGATTTCTCTTTTCTGTTTAATATCCATAACAACTCTTTGTTCTTCTATTCCTTCCTACAGTATTTCATAATTGGAGCCATGCTCCAAACGTCCATTTTTATTCACCATTCTGTTTAATTTCCAAATTAATTCTTCGCAAGCAGAGAAACTTCCACATTCCAGATAAGAAAAGAAAAAGTTTCTCAACAGTTTTGAATGCTTCTTAGCTCGTTATAGAACACGTCATATCGACCATTTTTCATTTCTTGTTCACTTTTTTATCTAGGACTCGAGCCCTTTTTAGTCCTAACATTTTTGCCAAATTGGAAATACATTTTTCATACAAATTTATATAAGTGCATGTATAACATTTTTAGTGTTTAAACTTCGACGAAGTATTTTTTTTTGTGTCGTGTTAATCAAAAAGAAGTGAAATCTTCCGTATGGTTCAGACGTCTCAAGGTAAAGCGTGTAGGTATAAAAATCGAAGCCATAATTCTTTTTTTATATCGAGTAATATCTTTCACACACAGGCTATATTGACCTCCTGTCCGCCATCCAGGGAACGAATAAATTTTCTTAATTAATAATAATTTTCGTTGTTTATTACTTGTCTTTTCCTTATATTAATATTTTAATTAGCACATTAATGAAAGACAACGTTTGACGGTTGACTTTTACGACTGGTACAAATTAACATACGTATGTTATAGTGTGATTGATTTGGCATCCTGTTGAAATAAAATTACTGCACATATGACCGGTTTCGATCAGTTTTCGTCGATTGCGGAGGAACAACTTCTTGTTGTTGCCGGGGCTACTGTCACCGGTACTGCTGCTGCTGCTGCGGCTGACAACCGCCGCTGATTTACTTGTTTGTTTGTTTTGTTCGCTCGTTTTCGTTTCCGAAATACATCAAGGAGTCCGTTTCTCTACCAACAAAAATTTAAATTATGCCGTTACATCATCATAACTCACATTTTATTCACGGGCATACCTGCTTATACAAGTAGTCCTATAGGAGGAAAAATACATTTCTAAATGGGTATTTTTTACGTCTCTCGACTAGAAGCAGAAGCCCACAAGAGAAATTGAATGCAAGTCTTTGTATTTAAACGAACATTTTTCATTTCAAAATCCGCAGGGTTATTATTTAATCAGTCTACGATATCAAACAGAGAGTGACGGTCTATTTTCTAAAAAGCACATCACTTTTTCCAACATTGACACCAAAATAATGCGTGGTTTGTTCTCGAAGCTGGAAGATGCAAGTATGACAACATTCGCCAAAAATCGTATGTGTTAGTGGACATCTCTCTTCCTAACTCAGCGGTTCCTAAATGGTGTTCCGTGGAAGGGTCACAGGGATTCCGCGAGATACGGCGTTTTTTGTCCTAATAAAAATATACAAAATTCTGGGAAAAGCAACTATTCTGTATTTAACCGTAACAATAGCATATTTTTCATGGCCAAACAAAGCAGCTGGCAATCTTAAAATTGACAAGACAAATGCCTGAAAGACGTTCTATTATTTGGTATTACAGCTAAAGACAAGGGAATACAGTATGTAGTGTTAGGAGCACTCTAATATTGGTGGACATTTTAACCATGGCAGTAACAAGTAATGAAATAACCGATTGGTGGTATGGATGGGATAAAAAAGGAGAGGTCTATTCGCGGCATCTCGCGTCGTAATTGATTCCGTACCTCCAAGATCCAGCCATCACACGAGTTTGCTTTTAGCACCCCGTACGTCCCTCAGTGACAGATTTATATGGACAGGTTACGACGACGACACAACGACGACGAAGAAGTAGAAGAAGAAGAAGAACAAGAGGAAGGACACAACGCATACGTACACGGTATTGGTTGCCGAAGTTCATTCCACGCGATCCAAGGGCATCCAGGATGATACTGCATACATACGTGTATACCTAATACAGTAACTCACAAAGGATTCTGTTTCATATCTTTATTAGATAGAGTTACAAACATGGAAGAGTGATACTTAGTTTGTATAAAGAGCAACAGGCAGTTATAGAGATGGGGCTGCAACGTAGAGAAGTAAATATTAGGAAGGGAGTCAGACAGGAATGCACACTGTCACCGCTCCTTTTTAATCTATACATCGAAGACGCGATCAACATTATTAAAGACAGTACAACTGTAGGGATAGATATACATGGGCAAAAGATTAGCATGCTTAGATTTACAGATGATATAGCAGTATTAGCATCTAGCAAGGAGGGGTTAGAGATGGCTTGAAATAAAAAGAAGTCACTTCTATGTTCGTGAAATTAATTTAGAAATTCGGAAAGGATTGTTAAAGGTGTATGTTTGGAACATGGACGCTGGGCGCGGTGGAAAAGAATAGGTTAGAAGCCTTCGAAATGTAGTGTTACAGGCGAATGATGAGGATACCGTGGATAGATAGGATTAGAAATGAAGAGGTATTAGAAAGAATAGGAGAACAGAGGACTCAATATGAAATAGGCGAGATAGGTTGGTAGGATACCTTCTCAGGCATGGAGGTCTAGTCAGAGACATATTAGAGGCAAAAACAGGAGTTAAGAGGAGACCTACCTCTAGGCCTAGATTAGATTACTGTTCTTAAATCATTAAGTATATGGATTGTTCTAGTTTTAGGGAAATGCGAAGATTAGCTCAGGATAGGAAAGAATCGGAGGTGCGTGTCCAACCAGTCTTAGGACAAGAGTTTGTAAAAATAATTTAAAATTACCTTTTCTACTAGTATTAGTTAAAAATAATAAACAATAACTAATTATAGAGCTTTTATATTGCTTGTGACTACAGACAACGTCATTTTATACTTTTTAAATGTCCGCAATGATATGATATGTGCTCCTGTCCGAAAGCTCAGTGTTTTGATAACCCCTGTGAAGTTAAACGTGGTGACATTTAAAGACCTTTATAGTATTTACGCCTCTGTTATTATTCTTATCCGAATGTTTACCTTGTTTAACATTTGGTTTTTTTTTGTTTCAGATTCTAAAGCACCCAGCACCACCAGCGGTAAGTGTTTTCAGTACTATTTAACTTTTTTGAGTCCGTCATCAACAAAAACGTTCTCAGTTCAATGTAATGAGTTTATTTACAATCATGGGCTACCGCTAATTCGTAAATTAGTCCAAATGGGTTAGTGGGACAGGTTCGATCTTCTTGCTTAGTTACATAGCTGGGGTAGCTGACCATTCCATCACGTAAAATTGGAGTACAGTTATGCTCAGGTTACGACGAGTTTTACTCATCATTATACATATTTTATTGGTATTTTTTAATTAATTTCAAAATCTTTTTCTTTATTGTGCACATTTTTCGTGAATCACTGTACATATGTCGTGTTATATCGGCTACGACGTTTCCTCTTTCTACACGTATTCTCTCTTCATTCTTTAGTTTCTTTCGCCATGTCGAGATCTCGGCCCGCGTTAACTTGAAGTCATTTTGCACAAGTGCTGAACAAAATAACGGGGTGGGGTGACGAATGGGCATATATCACAACGCGGGGTATGAGGAATCAACATCGAGATCACTTTTCTCCAGATTTATGCTATGCCGTCGAACGCGATTGAGTGCATGGGGCTCGGGGTACCGGCAGGGGGTTGATTTAGGGAAAAAATCAATAGGAGACGGAAACGTGGGCAGCCATACTGGCACGTAAAAATAAATGGCCAAAAAACACTCCCAAATCACCCGCTAAGGAAAAATGTCCTGCATCAAGTGAAAACAATATGGTAATTTACGATAACTATACACATAACACAGATCAACGTATATCTCGAAATATCTTTAGTTTAAATCAGTTTTTGGTTCTTTTTTGAGAATTACTACGGAAAGGATGCAATAGCCAAGTCACCTTTGTCTTATCTTTTATCGGCTGTATCACAAGCTCGCATTAAAATTGTTCCAATACGTTAAGATTTTGATATATCATAACCTAAAGATTCGAATGATGGCAATTTGACTTCTTTGCTTTAGCTACAGCTTTTCTGGGACCATATTTGGGTGCATCATCAAAAAATCCATCTAAAATGATTACCTACCTTTATTTCTGATTGTTTTTTCAACTGTCCATAGGAGTGTCCTTCAAAAATAAAGCCTAAACCACACAGAGACTAATCATTTGCGATTTACTTTTTAAGCTCCAATTCTAATCTGGCTCTAGAGTTTCCTTCAAAATATTGAAATTTCTAGATATCCTAATATCACATCCAAATAAGCCAAATGGAGTCAAAATACCTCAAAATCTTGATGTTACGAAGCCAGATGAAAAATGATTCCTCAAAAATGACTACTCTCTTAGTTGTTTTGTCATTTTAAACTTTACGTCATAATCTTCTCGAAAAGGCCAACAATTGTATTTCTTGTTGGATTTCAAGATTAGGTTATAGAAAAATTGGTGTATCCTGGGCCAATTCTGAGCTTGACATTGACTCAACATTAAAAATTATGACGTCAACAGTCATTATTCGAGTAGCGAATAGTAAGAGGTGACCAAAAATAAAAATTTTTAATCTCAAGGAGGATCTACATGAATGACCAGCCTAATAACTTAACTCTTAACGATTTTATGCGAGTAATGAATTAGCTCGATAGGGAACTCTCAATGCGACGAAGAAAATGACTTCACACGATCGGTTAAAGGTAAATTATACGTAAAACTTTAAGATTTTTTTTGAGAAGAAGTTCTAGACAGTGGTAGTGAAAACGTCTGTCTGAATCTGAAACAGAATACATGACTGCATGCACCTATATTATGAGAATAATAAGGAAGCTGAGAGAAGGAGAAACTTGGTAAATTATAATTCTTGACTGTCGCTTGTCTTTCGCAGATTATTTAACGTGGCGTGTGCGCATCTGAAGTGATAAACTGTCATGTTCAGAACATCTTCAGTTCTTCTCCTTGGCCGAATCTCGCGTACACAGCGAAAATTTACCAGATAATGTTGTGGGACCCTGGATTCTGTTTCTGTTTCTACTGTAACCATTACAACAGTATGTTGTTGACAACGCATCGTCCAGGAGAAGGTTTACCACTATGTGAAGACGAATTTTTAAGACAAAACAGTTGAAACTTTGTACAGATGTTTTCTTTATGATGTATACAAGGAATTTCGAAATTCAACCCCTAAGAGGGTGAAGTTTAATGCAGAAAAGAATGAAATTTAAACCCAGCTATATGATGACAAAATGAGTGCAATGTGCTCAACGAATTAAAATTGTGATAAAACACGTACGGATAATCTTGGTGTTAAATGGGATACAGATACAGGTGAGATATGTCCCAACCACCCGCCTACCTGATGACGTCGGACGGATTAGTCGGGTGCTTTGTCTGTACGGCTCCTCTTACGTCACCTCACGCCCTCACGGTCCCAGGCGAACCATAAACACTTCGCTGGTAGATTGACTCACGTTACTTCGCTAACGTACACAAGCGAAATTTATTTCCTCGAAGAAATTTACACCACCGCCACCAACAAACACGGTACGAACTCCTACATAGGGAGAACAGTTCGGAGAATCCATTTCCTACCTTATTTATATTCCTACCTACTGTAAAATTATTGAGATATTGAGTTAACGTCATCGACATATGAGTAATATAAAAGCTAATACGTAAATTACTCTTAAGAATTTTAGATTACATCACTATGCACTAGTGGCAAGTACAGAACCAAATATAAGGATGTTCAATATTTTGATTAAACATTAATGTGAATGAATATTCAACCCTCTATAGATTTCCTCAGATTAATAAAAAAAATTGTAAATTGCTGCTGTTATACCACCGCCGGGACTGGAACCCCGGGACCTTTGGTTTTATGTACCAATGCTCTGATTACTATTACTACACGCAATAAATAGAATTGTAATAACCTATCTCAGGTCGGTGTGTAGTCTCATCAAAATCGTTTCAACCGTTTCGAAGACAGATAGACAGACATACCAGCATTAAATAGTTTGAAGTGAACTTTGAACTATTTTCTTTACCAGTTAGCGATAAAATTCCCTCGACAAATGATAATTTTGTCGCTTGTGCATTTCGTTCCTGTCGTCGTCATTTCCCTGAGTTTCTCGGAGTTTTCCCCGTTTTCCCTGTTACACGAGCAGGCCGAGTGCGAAGCGCGGCATTCGTCGAAGTCTGCCGCTAGATGGCTAATTTTGTTTGAGTACACATTGTCACCAAATTAACAGGCACCTGTCTGAATTACAGATGCGCTCCCCGATTATCCTAGTTTTATGATGCTCGTAACTTCGCCGTGACGTCTAATTAGACACAGGTTCGCCGTGATTTTACAGCGCGGTCTTCAATTTACTGCTATACCGGCAGAGAACTCCGATTTCCCAAACCGCAAATTTAAACTACAAACAGGAACGCGCCCGCCGTCTCTCTCGTAGCTCGCTTTTCTTTCAAAATTGACTGAAACCTGTCACCTAATTGCCATTTTTACTTCTCCTTTTTAATTAACAAGCGATTCCTGTATTTTAGTATGGTATACCAACATCTTCTCCTTAATTTTTATATATTCCTAATGTCTAAACTAGAAATGCATCGGATAGTGATTTTGCCGGATGCCGAATAGCCGGATATGCCACTAGTTGTGGCGAGTATCAGACTTGATACCCGTCAAAACCACTACGATCTCTGTTTTGGGGGATTTTCCACTAAATACAACCCCCGCTAACATCGCATTCCACATTAAGTTCCGTACAAAAAGTCGTTTAAACACTAAACATATAAAAAAAATTAACTTATTCTTACTGGTGTTTGCTATCGTGCTACAGATGGCGTTTACTGCGCCATTTGTAGTATTTTCTAAAACGCACTGTTAAGACAGCAGGGAAAAGTTGGTCTGTGTTCTGTCGGAGCTGCCTGCGATGCGCTGATGAGATCCAAAAAGATCGAAATCGCGTCTGGCAGTTTCGGCAGAATACAGACCATTTCGAATTATTTTATTCGATTAAGCTAACGTGCCTATCACGTTGAGGTTGACTACGCCGGGATTCGTTTTCAGCAAGTAGATATCCACAGAAGTGGACTTTGTTGGAGCTTACGTAATCCTAAAATGTAGCATCCTGCTAAAGATGGCGTTTACTGCGCCATTTGTAGTATTTTCTAAAACGCACAGTCTTAGGACTGACGACCTTATAATGATGATGACGCGGACCCGGTGTAATTATTCGGTACCCAGCGGATCCGGACGGGTACCCGATCAAAACCAGGTATACCCAGTCCATCCGTAATCTAAATCTTTCCAAAATTTTCTCCATTTATCCTTAATAAATGGGTACACAATAGGAGGCATACATATCGTCTCCTTGATAAAGGAATCGTTTTAATAAAATGCAGTATTTTCCATGTACTTTTCCACCCCATTCCGGCATGTTATGTAAGTATTTATTGTACCTCGTATTTTCTTGAAAAAGAAGTCTGAGACGCGAATACGATGCGATACGTCAGTGGGGGATGTGCGGCCGTAGCCGTGGGTTAAATTCCGAAACTCACACACTGCGCTGGTTTTGATAGTTGTAGAACAATAAAACTGATAAAATACTTAGGACCATTAGCGTCAGACGAACGAATGAAATGGTATTGCCGGTGGCAGCAGCGGTAACGGCGGTTGTGATGGCGCACAACGAACGAGGAGGTCTTTATTATTAGTCGTAGTCGACGTCGTCGTCGTCGTTGTCGTTCGTGGTGGTGGCGGCCCGAGCTGCAGGAGTTACGGTGACGGTTTCCGCTCTTTGGAGATGTATGGGTCCCGGCCCATCCGTAATAACTGCGTCCTGCGCCCGGACTCGGAGCAGAGACGTGATTGTTCCGCGGCCCGGCAATGCCATCCATAACAACTTTAACTGTAAAAATGTCGAGGATCTACTGATGTGACCCGTGTGCTTTTTATTCTCTTCCTTCTTATTCTTTACCCTAGATCATCATGATATCATTTAGTATGGATATAATAAACACTGAACGAGGATTTCAATGAAATTCATCACCATCATAATAG